TGGGTGACGGCGATAAACTACCTTCCATCGGACTGGGTGACTGTCCTTAAAATACCTTCCATCGGAGCTCCTACCTGGGTGACGACTCCGGCTCCCAAATACCGGACCAGCCCAAGGTGATGGCTCTAAAATTCCAGCCAGCCTCGGTGATGGCTCTGTAATATACACCTATAGGTGAGCCGTCGGCAACCATGGCACGCTGGCTTCGCTTCGCTAACACGCTGGGGGCGCTCGAGCTCCTCGCCGCCGACGTCTGCGCCGCGGCGGCAGCGCGCCCGCATTGCCTGGCGCCCGACGATCTGGCCCGCCAGTTCATCCTGCTGTCGCAAGCGCTTCACCTCTTCGTCGACCGCGCTCGCTCGCCGGCCAGTCTCTGGCGCGGTCCGCTACCGCCGACGGCGGCTCGGCGTGCGGAATCGACCCTATCAAGTGCTCAAGTGCTCAAGCTGTATAAGCTCACATCGCGTCAGTCATCAACGTCAAATCTCATCACTTACGTCAGGGTGCTGTCCGATGTCACGGCGTGAAGCCGTGCCGGTCGTGACCGACGGGCGGGCGCTCATGAGCAGCACGCCCGTCGTGCTCACGATTTCTGTCATCTCCTTTGAGACGGTGAGCGTGAAGGTGTCCTTCACCGCTGCTGATCCGTGGCCGCCATTGGATGGCGACTCGCTTCTTGAGTTGCTCGGGCACATGAGCCAAGGCACGCTTCAGGCCGTCGGTGCTGTTTCTAAGGAGCTTCGGCGTCTGGCTTACGATCCAGCCGTGCCTGGCCAGCCGTGGAGCTCCATCGACATGGCAAAATGGCCATTTTTTGGGGAGGAGAAGAAGCGTCGTGACGCTGTTGCAGCTGCTGGCGCTATGGAGGACGGCATTGAAAAGATGATGGCCTGTTGCTTCTTCTCTGCCGTTCCAGGCGATAGGCCTGACGCGAGCGACTCTGACGTCCGAGTAGCAGTTCGGCTTGCGGGGCCGCTGCTTAAGACCATCACCTGTTCTCCGGCCAAGTTGACCGACGGTGTCTTCGCGAGCATTGGGGCAGCCGCGCCTAATCTGACCGCCCTCGATCTGTCGAGTCCGAAGGGCTTCGGAGTAGCAGAGTCCTATCTGACGAACGAGGGCATGGCGCGTATCGGCGCGACGCTTCCTCGCCTCAGCCGCCTCAGCCTGTCGCATCGCATGGGAGAAGTCACAGATGAAGGAGCCTTGCTCCTGCTGCAGGCCCTGGGAGCAGGTCTCAAGCAGCTGCGCGTGCCTCTGCCTATGTGCACCGAGCTCACACTGAGGTATGTCGGCCAGTTCTGCTCCCAGCTCACGCACCTTGACATTGACGGTCTTGGAAGCCGCATCGGAAGGCGCACAGGCAACGAGGTGTCCGCGCTTGGACCTGCAGCCGAGCCCGAGCTCCATCGGATCTTTGATGCAACTGGCCACACTCTAGAGCACATAAACTTTGGATGGGGCTGTGTTGTCGACGTGTTGAACTCGACCCTGATCAAGATGATGTCAACCATGCCACGGCATCGGCTCAAGTCGTTCCGTGGGGTGCGGCTGTCCCTGGGAGCTTTCAGTGTCGATCGTCTCGAGCTGCTCTTGCCCCAAGACTCTCCTGTGCTCGCATACGCCACGAGCAGGGATATCAATAACGTGGTCTTGATGACCGATCTCACGCCGCCTGTTTGGGAGCTTTTCACATGGTACTTCCACTCCGCTGAATCACTTACAGTTGACGATGTTGGCGCGGAGCAAATTGGTGTCCTCAACAACTTTGAGCTGAGGCGGAATCACTGCAGCCCATTCTTGCGGGAGTTGCGGCGCACGTTTTCAAACACAATGACGCTTTTGGCCCTTGGCGGCCGCTTTGCCTCGACGTAGGCGGCTGAATGTGCTCGGCGGCTGCACTATCGGTGTGAAT